TATTGGGAAGAAGGAAGGAAGGAAGGAAGGAAGGAAGGAAGGAAGGAAGGAAGGAAGGAAGGAAGGAAAAGTACAAGTATTTATAAAGAAAGTTAGGAACATTTTTGTTGTTGTTGTTTTTAGTTGACTTTAAAATCTTGAACTTATGACAGACCAGGTTATAATACATCATATGTAAAATGGCAACTTTTCAAGATAAGATGACATACTTAAAAGTAATTCTATTAAATATTAAGAAACTTACCTATTTAACATAATTAATAGATAACTTTAAATGAGTGAGAGAAGCAGACACAAGGTTGATGATGAAAATAAATTTGAATCTACAAACACACTCAGGAACGAATATATCAATAAGTACTCAATTAGGTATATTGGGACACTTAAAAAAAATAAAACACCCCAAATTTAGACTAGAATTCCTCGGGAAAATGATTCACTATGCAGAACACAGTGCTTGTCAATTCCTCCAAACTGAAACCTTTATGGTATGTCAGTAGCAGCTTTATTGTATACAATAGAAGCCCTCTTATTTGGAATCAGCTGGTTACATGAAAAAACTGATTGAAGAAGGACTTCCTAAAGATGAATAAGCACCTCAAAATTATTAACTGAACTTAAAACACATGACATGCTCATTCTTCTGCGTATCTTCTGATATAAGGTTAAGGGCTTGTCTGTTGTTTTTCTGAGGGTAAGTTCACTTGGAATTCCATCTTCTTACATTGTACTTATTTAAATAGTATAGTCTATGACTTCCAGCCTTTGTGCTTTTGAAATAGAGTCAAAGTTTAAAGCCACTTGCAAAGCACTAAATATAGAGCCTTTTAGATGTTTATAATATCTATTTTTAGTTGTTTTGAAACTTTATTCAACAGCAAGTTTCTAGTGGTTTGCCTTCATTTACTTTTTTACAAGGCACTCAGCTTACTTTTCACAGAAATTCTTTCTTTTTGTACTCTACTTATAATTTATCAGTTTGCATTATGATGAATAACTTGTATTATAAATTGTAACAGCTCACACACACAGAATGGGTTGGGTTTCTCTGTTGCCTCCTGTGTCTCCACAGCCTAGGATAATGCCTGGGCATTCAGCTGTATTTGTGAAATGACAGATAAATGGCACATAACTCGCTGTCCTACATATATAACAGAACAGGTGGGAGCAGAAGTACCTGGGGCGGGCTAGAGGGGACACTGCCAGCCTAGAGCATTCTCATGCTATGGGTCTCAGTACGTTTTACAAAAGAAAAAAAAGAAAAGGAGAATCATTTATTACAGTAAGTCCGTTACATGATGGTTGGATAAGGGTGCTTCTACTGCGCTTTGATTAAATATGTAACCTAGCAACAACTCTTTCTTACGGTCCACATAAACTGAGCTCTCCATCTGACTTTCTCTGGGAATAAACGATCTTCCTCCATGCTAACCTGTAACTAATTTAACTCCCCATTGTCCAGAAAAGGCTTGTGAAACATCTGAAGCTGTCTGTGGGGGCCAAGCTCCTGAAGGGGATTAGTAACATGTTCTCTCCTCAGTGTCGCTTAGGACATTTGGAATCAATTAAATATTCAAATATAGGTTCTCTCAGATCTCCAGCCAGGCTCAGCAAGTTTGGGAGAGGAGGGAGTTCAAGACAGATAACTGCTACTCCTCACACCAAAATCTATAGCTGGAAGTTAAAAAAAACAAACACTCTCTAGACTTCCTGGGTCTGCAAGCAAATAGTGAGACAAGATTAGAAATGATAAGGAGAAACAGCAGGAATCTTTCTGAGAATAGGAGTTACAGTATACATGAGAATGGCTGCCCTGTAGGGTCTCAAAGACAAATAAGTGAGTACATCGGGCTGTTGCCTAAGTACAACAGTATGGCCTGTGAGAGCTAAGAATGGTTTTTAGATTTTTAAAGGATTATTAAAAAAATATGTAACACAGACTGTATATGGCCTAATAACTTTAAATATTTATGCTCTGGCCTTTTGTAAAATTTGCTGACTCTTGGTTTAGCTTTGTTTCCAACATATGTACTAATATAAATATTACCATTAATAATCACTATTACTATTAGTAGTAATGATGAGCTGCATTAGGGAAGGGAAGATTGATGAGGGCCCACATGTGCCAATTTGACAAACACTTTACATACTCTGCCAATCCATTCACTGAGCAACGCTCTGGCTCTGAGGTAGGCATTCATTCTCTCGATAGAGCAGAGAAAACAAGCTCAGAGAGGTTAAGTAACTTGCCAGCATCACAGAGGGAATTAAGGAGTGAAGCTGTTAATCAAACCCAACGTGGTGGTATGTTTAAGCAGTGAATCGCTTTTCCTATTAAATGCTATTTTAGAACCTCACTATATAAAATAGTTACTCTGACCTCACTCCTTTTCAGAACAAGCTGTTTGAAATAGAAATCAGTATTTCAAAAGATGAAGCCAATAATGAACATGGGTTTCCAACTCAATTATTCCATTATCTGGCACATTACACATTTCTCTCTGATAATATTTTGCTAAGGTCAAAGGAAGTATCAAAGTAACAGAATTGCCCTTTACTTATTTCTGTGCCTAGTTAAAGGGTTACAAGTCAGTCAGGAGAAGGGAGAAAAAAGAAAGCAGCAAAAAGTTTAAATAATCTTCAAAATCTAAGTAGTCATACTATAGCTATCAGCCCTCAATCCCATCAAATGCCAGGTGGGAAGGACATCTTCCAAATGGCAGCTCATTTTACCTTAATAGTTGGTGTTTCCAGATGAGTTTCTAGTTTCTATCATGATAAATTAATATATCCTATTTTATTATGGTGCCACAAACAAGAACTCTGAAAGGCTCAACTCTTACAAAAGGCCCAAATCCCCTGAAAAGCATCAGGTATCAAAATGCAGCCAGAAAAGATGGTATTAAAAGAAAAAAAAGAAAGGGCTCCTTTTTAATGAAGTCGAGGTGTAGGACAGATTTATTAGCTTCCATTTTTCCAAGTTGCATTCTGGTGTATTTCCTGCCCATATTTTTAAGTTCAACAGATCTCTTCACAGGATTATTTAAAAAAAAAAATTTCAAAGAATATGATGTAGCTATACCCACTACACCTGCAAAGACACACCTGTGATGATACAAACATAAAGTGTTCTTCATATTCACAACCCAAGCTCTAACAGAAAACAGACCTTCTGTATGATCTGCCAAGATCCCACCATTCTCAAAAAGAACTGATACTGGTAATAATATTACAAAAAGTCTTAAAAAATAATAACCAATCAAAGATTGCCCCTGACCAAAATGCTCATTATATTTAGTGTAGTTCAGTCTATTCTTTACTGTCATAATTCTTTTTTCCAATATCAAGAAATAGTTAAAACAGGTAATTATTTTTGATGCTATTACAGATGCCTACACCATTCCTAGGTAGACTTTATTTTTATGTACACCATTGATTCCTTACTTATTCATTCAAACATCATTATCAAATGTTTATTGTGTGTCAGGTACGATACCTGATTCTTGAGAAAGAAAGTAAGAATATAATAAAAGAATAAAATCCTTCCTTGGGAAACTTCTACTCCAATTGTCTAACTGGATTTATAAACAAATCATCAGCGTTTTAAATTCCCAGTAAAGCTGTCGAGGTCAATGAAAACAAAGTAGAAAGAGAATTGGTTCAGCCTACAGGTATTGGGACAGGAACACATTTGAAGGGAATGTTAAAGGGTAAGTAGTGTTCCCGGTGAAAGGAGAGGGGAGTCCAGATGGGAAGATAATACGTATAGGCAAGGCCAAGCGGCAAGTCAAGTGTTTGATGGTCTACACTGAGGACCGGAGTAGCCGATAGAATAACTAGAGATGAGCTGTCCAAGACATAATTAGTCACTAGGCATATGTGCCTATTTAAATTAAGATTGGAAATTCAGTTCTTGGTCGTATTTCAAGTACTCAATAACCATGTATGTCAAGTCTACCATATTGGACAGTGTAGACAAGTATTTCCATCATTGTAAAGTTCCACTGGGCAGCACTGAGTATAAGAGGACAAGGTAAGCCTGTGGCACTTCATGGAGAATCTAAAATGTATATTAAAGAGTTTAAACCTTAAGTAGAAATGGTTTATAAATGACTATCTTCAAGAGTCCCTTTGGGAATAGCCTGGGGGACTCTACCTTGGCTGCATTGCTAAAACCTGATTTACTAATCCAGCTTCTGAATTTGAGTAAGATTTTTTTTAACTATGTTTTTATTAATTTTTTTTTAGAGAGGGAGAGATAGAAACATCAATATGAGAGAGATACTTCGATCAGCTGCCTCCTACAGGCCTTCCACTGGGGACTGAGCCCACAACCGGGACCTCTCAGTCCATGGGACGACCCTCAATCCACTGAGCCACACTGGCCGGGTGAATAAGATTGTTTTTTTTTTTTAAGAAAAGAATTCTTCACCTTAAAAAAAAAATTAATGACCAGAAACTCAGTTATGGGTAACTGGACACCACCACAGACTTTTAAGCAGGGAAATGACACTGTGAAACAGATTTGGGTTTTAGAATATTACCTCTTAAAGCAGCAAGCAAGATATGTGAGAAGAAAAGTCACTTGGTATACCAAAATCAGTACAGGCTGAGATGATAAAGGACTAATTTCGGTGAAGCTTCTAAAGAAAGAGACAAGTAGGAATTTGCATTAGCAAATTTATTTCAAGAATTACACACACACCAGGCATATTATTTCCACACAAAAACCAGCACTGTACCAAAAACATTTAACACCTTGGCCATGAAACTCAAAGATAAAAACTTCTCAAGGTATCTATTTTAAGTAATTGAATTCTTTAATATTTGTAACCCATGCATGTTCAATTATCATTTTTAAAATATGTTGTTTGTATTCATTAAGCTTATTGTGTATGTGTAACATCTTTTCTGAAATTTTGTTATCCAAAATATAACTTTTCATAACTTCAAAATATCCATCCATACCTCTGAGCAGTACTATTGGAAAACCAAAATTGTTTTCAAGTAGCAGTGTTCAAAACACCCCATTCCTGATTAAAGAAAAGTGACATCCTTTTTTAAAGGCTCTCTTACATTTCTCGTTCCTACTCTAACATGCCAACCATTACTTCACTGATATCCCAAAGTTTTCTTGCTACATTCTCATCCATGGCTTTAGGCAATAGTTCTTCCTCTTTACAATCCCCAAAGTACTTTCCTGACACACCTTCTACCTCAGGTGAAGAGGCTAAATAAATCGAAGTCTGGGCACCTTCTAATGGAGTTTTGAAAAAAGCCCAAGATACCACATTGAAAAGTGGTTTGACCAACAGCGGAATGTGTATGTGCCTCCCAAGATTAGTCCGCACAATGCCAGGGTGTAAAACATTGACAGTAACCTTTGTGCCTTCCAAACGGCGGGCTAGCTCCCTGGTGAAAAGGATGTTAGCCAGTTTGCTCCGACTATAACAAAAGCTTTTATTATAACTTTGTTCACTATTCAAGTCTTCAAAGTTGATGTCTCCATATTTATAAAGTTTGGAAGAAACTACCACAATCCTGCTGGGAGCTGAATTTTTAAGCAGTCCAAGGAGAAGATTGGTGAGTAGAAAGTGACCCAGATGGTTCACCCCAAACTGCATCTCAAACCCATCTTCAGTCTTCAAATAAGGGCATTGGAAGATCCCTGCATTATTGATCAAGACGTCCAGTCTAGGCTCTTCCTTTAAATGTCAAAAAGAGAATAACAGAATTATGAACATGGGCCTAAATGCACCTAAAATACAATTTTAAAAAATTTCTTACGAACCACTAAAATTCTATAAAATGTCTCTCTGAGTTTTCAACAACTGACAAAGAAAATAACTAAAAAAGACCTGTATGCTTAATAGGGGCCTGGCCTTGTGCTTTTCACATGTTATCTCATCTACTCTCCACAACTTGCGAGTAAACAGAAGCCCTGAAGAGTCCGGTGATTTGTCCGGTATCACAGGGCTCCTAACTGGCAAACAAAAATCTGAAGATGAAATCTTGATTCCAGGGCCCAAGCTCTTAATCAGTAGGCCAGCTTGCTTTCCTAATTGGAACTTTCAAACCAGAGCTACAGAGCTGATGTGAGCTGGAGAATGGAAATGCAGCAGAAGACAGGTCAGCATTGTTTATTCCCAGAGCTGCCAGTATCAACACGAGCAAGTTAGGATTGCTTTATTTGGTAGTTTTTTAAGGGTAAATGGTACTGTGGGGATGGAGCAACTTCGAGTTGTTTCCTTAAAATTAGGACAAGCAATGAAGTGGGCCAGGGATGCAAATTAAGGCCAGAGAACATCATGAATAAATCAAAGAAATATTTTTAAAATTATTCAGGCAATATAGAAATATTAAAAACACCACAATACTAAATATTAAATACTAAGTCTCACAACAACAGCAAAGGAGATTAACAGAGGAAACAGGATCGACAAACTTCCTAAACTCTACTAAGATTAGAAGTCAGTTCTTCCCTCGATGAAATCTCTCTCTTTCAGGCTTCCATGGCCCCCAACTCAGATCTATATAGTCAGAATGTTGCACTGTGACCAGATCCTGCCACGTCTTTCCAGATTAAAGTCATAAAATTTAGACTATTCTTAAAGGGAAGTCTTTTCGTTCGTAATTCATGTAAGTTGGTTTTCCCCAGCCCTTTCCTGGCTCCTCTCTGTCTCTTTTGATGGGCAGAGAAAAATAAATGTACAACATGTTCCAGGTGTAAAGACAGAATGATGACCCACGATTAAATTAATTTGAGGTCAAATTTCAAATTTCACTGGCCCCTTTGCCAAGTGTAAGTGAAAAGAAAAATGTGTTAAATTTCACAACTGTATCAAAGCCTGCCCGTCAGAGGATTAACTATTTCTCATTCTGTCTGTCCAAGCACCTTTAGCTTCTCCAATAGTCAGCTTCAAAAAGAAGGCAAAAGTTCACCGGTGGGGGAAAGAAAGGAGTGTTCTCTTGCAGTAATCCTTTGGAAGAGTTTCTTGTATTAATCATTTCTGAGCCATCATTCTTTGCTGGGCTTGTGTTATTTTAAGACTTTATCATCTACTATTTTTTTTTAATTCTAGGAGATAAATGACATAAATACCAAGAATACCAACCTGTGGGAAATTTACATTTCCATTAAAAAAAAACAAAACAAAACCAGGTTATGGTCAATGAACTTCAGAGCCAGGAACTTAATACTTAGAAGCAAGGACAACTCACTTATCTCTTTATCTCCTAACTTTTAATTGGTTCTACTCCAAGTGGCCAAAGTAGTAAAATACCAAATGTATGAGGAATGAGAAGTACATCTAGCCACGTCTACATTTTGATGAAAAAGAGGAAGATCCACATGTAATGCTTCCAAAATCTCTTATAATAGTATTATTTCTTACTTTTAACCTGTTGTACCTTATATGAAGTAGATATATAAACAACAAATTCCCCCCAAACTTCTCTAGATCTGCAATAGCTCCCAAACTGTGCATCAAGGTGCCCTAGAGAGTTACAAGTAACTCCCAGGGTACTATATGAAACATTTCAAATTTCCAAGGGAAACAAAGGGATACTCTGCTCAACATCTCAAAAACTATTAGTTCCAGGTGGTTCACAGCATCAACATTATATTGTACTATATTCTCTTTGATAATGTCACATTTTTGCACAGGTATTTTTTAGCAGTTGCTGTAATAAAGTGCATGTGCAATGTGAAAAATCAATGTAGAAGAAATGAAGGTGGCAATGTCCAAATCTGAGCAGTGAACCAAAGGTACACATTTCCTGTAGTAATTATGCTTACTGATAATGAATCTTTTTTTCTTTCATTATGTGTACTATTTTTTCAAACAGCTACTAAGTTGTTATGACATCAATATTTATTAGGTTATTTGAACCTAATTACTTAATCTACATAAACTGTAGATCTTTCTTTTGGCCTGAGGGCATCATGAAAAAAATAAAAAGGATGTTTGGGAACCTCTGCTCTGGACTCAGACTCCCTTTCATATGGGCACATTTCCTGTGCCAGCTAACGTTAAATGTCAGTCTTCTGAAGGCTTGATGCAGGAAACCCTTCTATCTCAATCTCAATGGAGGACATCCACTTCGGTGGAATATTTACCATCTAATCAAAGAAACCCTGCCCCATCTGTGTGGCTCAGTTGTTTGATCATGAACCTAGCACAGGAGGTCAAATTCCCAGGTCAGGGCACTTGCTTGGGTTGTGGGCTTAATCCCCAGTAGGGGGCGTGCAGGAGGCAACCAATTGATGTTTCTCTCTCTCTCCCCCTTCCTCTCTCTGAAATCAATAAAAACATATTTAAGTAAAAAAGAAAATAAACACAGAAATCTTCCACAACACTGGCAGGCAGCAGAAATGGAATAGGAGTTCAAAGCAAGGGCTCTGGAGACAGATCCTGGCCAGTCGATTAGCTTGCCTATGCCTTCCTTGCCTTATGTTGTAAAATGGGGATAACAATGCCTACCTCACGGGGATACTGTGAGCATTCAACTACAATAATAGCTAGGGGCTTTCATTTCATTAAAAAATATTTAAGTACCCGAAATGCTTGGAACAGCTCCTAGCACATAGGAAACCTTCAATAAATGCTAGGTATTAAATACTTATTTACTTCTGTCCCCGTTTAGAGCACGTGCTCACTGGGGTTCCAAGATGCAGTTTATTTGGAAGCCAAGCCAGAGCGTGCGAAGGACGGTGCGAACGAGTCCCCTGGCGGCCAGAGCGACACTTCCCGCCCACGCGGGGGGAGGGGCGTCGTTCCAAGGTCCTGGGCTTCCCCTCCGCGCTCTCGGGCTCTCAAAGGCGGGGGCTCGGTCCAGATTCACCCTGGACCCAGGAAAGGCAACTCGGAGCCCTGGCTGATCTCCTGGGCGGTCCTCACACACCTAAAGGAACTGTCCAGGCACTGGGTTCTTTTCCTCTCGGCCTGGTTTCCTTCTCAACATCCCTGGAAGACACGACTGCCCTACCAGCTCTCCCAGCCGGCGACTCCAGCCGCCTCCAAATCATGTGATTGTTTCTCCCCTCCGCTCCAGTCCTCCCGAGGTCACGCCCCCAGCCTCGGGCCCCGCCCCCGGCCGCCCGCCGGCCCCGCCCCCGGCCCCGCGCCCGCACCTGCAGCACCTCCTGACAGAAGTCGCGCACGGAGCGCAGCGAGGCGAGGTCCACCTGCTTGACGACCAGCTCGCCGACCCCGCCCGCGTCGGGGCCCCCGGCCCGGCCGACGTCGCGGCGGAGCTCACGCGCCGCCTCCTCGGCGCGCGCGCGGTCCCGGCAGCCCATGATCACCCGCGCCCCCATGCGCAGCAGCTCGGCGGCCGTGGCGCGGCCCAGGCCGCTGTTGGCCCCGGTGATCAGCACGGTCTTCCCGTGCATGAGGGCGCTGTCCCCGCTTCCGCGCCGCCGCTGGACGCCGGACCCTACGAACCGCCGGGTGGCCAGCCACAGGGCCCCACCCAGTGCGGCCAGTAGCGCCGCCACCGTAGCCACTGCCATGGCCGCGGGGGCCGAGGGCACGCCCACCCCCGCGCCGGACTTCCGGAGTCAGCGCACCGCACGCGCTGAGGCTGCCACCTGTGCCCGGAGAGCTCGGGCGCGGCCTGTCGTCCCCGAAGGGGCGGCGTGGGGCATGCTGGGACTTGTAGTTTCCTTTCCAAGGGCCCCTGATTGGTTGTAAGAGGACCGCTCTGTGGGTCCCGGTGCCTCCGTGGAGCGGCTCCCAGTCTGAGCGTGGAGGGTGAGCACAGGCCCCGGGTTTTCTGGCGGCTGGGGTTCCTCCCCGTGGAGATGCCAGAGTGGTGGTGGCCTTCCCCAGGTGAATGCCTGTTGAATTGGCAGATTTCTCTGCAGGCTGGTTTACAAATCCCACTCTAAAGGGCTGTTAGCGTGTTTTCTGTTAAGGGCTCCCGGCGCTTGTTAACCCTCCGTTCCACTTATTTTCACCCTCCGAAGAATTGTGCCTGCCCACCTAAGCCTGAGGGAGAGCTCTACCCCCCCCCCCCGCCCCCCATAAATGAAGCTAAGGACTTGGCAACAGGAATCAGTTGGAGATAGAATGGACCAGTGGTTGTCAGGCTTCAGCGTCGCATCAGAATCACCTGAAGGGCTTGTAGAACCAAACTAAAAATCAGGAATTCCAGGGCCCCAGTACCAGGGTTACGAATTTAATTGGTTCCAGATGGGACCTGAGTGTGCATTTACAACAAGTTCTCAGGTGATTCTGATCTGGTCCCTGTAGGAAAGGACATCCTCAAATGGTCTTATTTGACACTGGCAGAAACACAGTAGGAAAACTTTGCACTTACAGAGACTTCTGAGCAGGCCACTTCACACATACCTCCCACCCCCTCCATAAGACCATTACATGCATAAGTGGAACAGAAAATGCTCTGTACCCTGGAACATGCTTCAGAAACGTCAGGGGTTATTGCACAGGGACCCATCTTCAAGCTGCAGACTTTGGCTTTAGACCAAATTACTCTTAAGTGGTCATTCGTTCATCTACTTACCCAGCCAATATGTGCCAGCCCCTGTGCCCTATGAGAGTCACAGAGAAATAGGGTGCTTACTGGCTGGTGCAGAAAATTCACTGTCCCAGCCCCATTTTAGGATCTTGAGGAAAAGAGAGGAAACTCCCAATGTGTATAGTTTGAAATAAATCCCTGTAAGATTTTGGTAAAACTCTCTTCCGCTCCTTTACATCTGTAAAGGATGTAGCATGCAATGCTAATCAAAATACAAAAGGAAAAGGGGTAGAATGGCAGAAGAAAGTTTCGTAGGAGTGCTGAGAATGAAGTGCAGTGGTGGGAAAGCTAACTATCACTGAGGATTAGACAAGGCACCAGGAACAGAAATCACAAGGGGTGGTGGGCCTTTATTTCTCCTTCTATACTTTGAAGCTCCCTGTCAAAATCCCTGAGCCTGGAACACATCTGTTTCCTCTCCCTCTTCAGTTTTATACGTTTTCTGTCCTTCAAAGCCCACCTCAGTTCTTTTCATTTCCTGACCACTTCCAGCCCTTGTAGATATTTGCTTCCACCTCATGTGTGACCCTCACTTGGCACTGAGAACAAACAGCCCTCTAGTGTTGGCTATTTGAGTTTGCACATTTGACTTCCTCTATGATATTGTTAAGGTTTTACATTTCCTCAAGGATTGGGATTATGTCTGAGTTCTCTTGTGGACTTCATATTGGGGAATGCATAGAAAACACTAGGTACTCATTGAGTGTCATGATTGATATATTTTGGACAGGTTTACATCAAATTAGGAAGCAGATCAAAAGATGCATGTCAGCAGTGGTCTTCTTTGACTAGATCCAAACTGGAAATTGCATTTGTGGGTGGGGTAAAATGGAGGTAGTGGTATAAGGAACAAGAGAGTATGGAGAAGAGAGGAGAGGAAGTCTCAGACTTGCTATGTAACTGTTGTGTAGCTTGAGCATAGAATTTAATGGAATGACTAATCTGTTCAGGATGGGTCCTATGTCCATGGAATCAATACGAACAACTAAGTTTGGAAAGCTATATAACACAGAGAAAGTATATATGTATGGTTTTTGAAGTAAATTAAACCTGACTTTGAATCTTAGTCCTACTATGTATTAGCTGCCATTCTTAGACAAGCTATTTTATCTTTTTTTGCATCTTAGTTTCTTCATTGATTAAAAAGAAGGGTAACAGTATTATATCACAAACGTTTGGTGAGAAACGTTTGATGATAAAATGAGGTAATGTGAAAATATCCACCTTACCATGCCTTATCATGTAATAGATTTCAGTTAATTGGCTATCAGTGTTTTTTAGAACAAAACAAAAATCACAAAAGAATGATAACAATGAAAGTTCAGGACACTACACTTCATACCACACTTTGAAGCCATGGCCAGGGCTTGTTTTGCCATACAAACATTGGGCCTACCTGCCAGGCCCAGAGCCAGAGACTTCAAAAATTTGTTCACAGGCAATAAACTCACCAAGTAGGCTTCCAAGTATCCTTCCTAGGATATTTTGTTTGGAGCTCACCTTAGAGGGAAAGTGCCCTACATGAGTAACCAGCTGATTTCTGAATGACTAGTATCTGAATTGGTGTACATATGCAAGTGGAGTGACATTTTTATTTTGCATTGATTTAAAGGCTGGTCGTAGAGGCAACAGACTAAAAAGCTCTAATTTTCAGAAGTATGCATAACCCTACTCTTTCTTCCCTTGAAGACCACTATTCTATAATGATGATTTGTAACAATTTATTTTATTTATCAATGTCCATAAATGATCAATGTTTTGTAAGACCAAGTAGGCTCTGACATAGCCTTTTAAGCATACAAGCATTCAAGTTATAAACTCATCCTAAAGAGTTATCGTTATGACTTACAGTCCACAAGGGTAAGCGTGGTGGTATTCAATAGCATTGACATCACAAAGAGACAGAGCCTGAAGGTAACTTGAAGGTTCACACGTTTTAAAAAAAAAAAAGAGTAAACCTTTCTAAATGAACTAAGTTCTGAGGTCCAGTTTTCTGAAATACCTAACTAATTACCCTAGAGATCCACAAGAAGTGGCTTCTGTAATACCAGACTCACTGCTTTATTTCTCCTCCCCATCTCTAATTGTTCAATTTTTGATTAATGCTATAAGGTACATGAGCTGAGTTGGTGCCCAATTTCTGTGCCCCTTCAATATGGAACATGCGGTCATCAAAGACGATGTGGGGTCGTATTTTTACCAAGATGGGACCTTTGGGGGCTCCAGCAAGGAAAAGGGCCTCATCTATCTCTAGACCCCAGCGGCGAAGAATTTTCAGCACTCTGGCACCTGAACTGGCTGCACTTCTGGCTGTAACCAGGTAGGTCCGGATAGGGCAACATAACCGTTGGTCTTTGGCATAAAACTTCTTCTGCAGTCTGCCTAAATCTTCCAGGAAGACTTTTAAGGGACCCTGTAAAAGGAACGCATGTCACAGTTGTGATCTAGTGAAACAAATGAAGTGAATGCTGAAAAAGCAGAGGCTTATAAGAGCTTATAAAAGGATATAAGACTTCATGCAGTATTATTATAAAGCTCATGCTACAATGCTGAAACTCCTTGCATGTATGTGAATATAGTTTCTTATATGGAACCATCCTTGCATTCCTCTAATAAATGCAGGATGATTATATAATTTATTGTCTCAACACAGATACTTTTAAGAGTAAAATAAGTTTCTATTGAAAAGTTAAACCAAGGCAACAGACGTAAACTTTTGATGGCAAAGTGGGATACTCTAAATAAAGTTGTTAATTACCAAAAGCACTACTCTATTAATTTGCTTTTGTGAATTGCACATTTTCACCATATGAAGTATTCTCCTTTATCTTGTTTCATGCCTTGTTGGCTTGAATCCAGTCTTGTCTTATATTTACAAATACTTTGTATATCATCACACTAACTTTTATCTTCAACGTTTCTAAACACTTAGTTTTAGCCATAGTTCTATGGTATAGAGCATAGAATTGGATTTTGCAATGTGATCCAATCTGGAAGTCTTAATTTTTAAAACAAAAGTTGAGTTTTAAGACATTGATATTTATTGGTATTACAAATATACGAGGTAATTATATTTTTCATGTTTAAAGATTTTAAAAGATTGTTTACTATTAAGTGTATTTGTTTGATGCATGTGTGTATGTGTGTTTCTTTTAAGATTTAGGAAGGTTTATGTTATTTTCTTCTATTGGTTCCTTTATTTACTTATTTATCTTTATTGTTGAAAGTATTACAGATGTTCCTCCATTTTTTACTCCAATTGACACCCTCTTCCCTGCTCCCGCCCCCCACCTACTTTCACCTCACTGTTTTCTGTGTCTATTGGTTATGCATATATGCATATAGTTCTTTGTTTTACCTCTTTCTGACCCTGCCATCCCCCCTTCCCTCTGAGGTTTGTTAGTCTGTTATCTACTTCCATGTCTCTGGATCTATTTTGTTTGTCAGCTTATTTTTATCATTATATTCCACAAATAAGTAAGATCATGTGATACCTGTCTTTCTCTGACTGGCTTATTTCACTTAGCATAATACTTTCCAGGTCCCTCCATGTCGTCTCAAAGGGGTAAGAGATTTTTCAGCTGCATAGTATTTCATTGTGTAAATGTACCACAGCTGTTTTATCCACTCATCTACTGATGGACACTTAGTTACCTTTATAACTATAACTTTACATACTATCCTCAGTACTCTATTTCTTAAAAATCCAAGATCTATTATTTTTTACAATGAGAAATAGTGAAATTAGGGTATTTTTTTTTACTCTCTCTTATCCTCTATTTCTTCTTCATCCATCCAATTTTACTTGTTTACATTTGCATTATGAAAGATTCTCATATTTCTATTTTTAATTTTTAAAATCCTCATCCAAGGATATTTTTTTAATTGATTTTTAGAGAGAATGAAAGGGAAGGAGGCAGGGAAGGAGCGAGAGAGAGAGAGAGAAACATCAATGTGTGAGAGAGACATCGGTTGGTTGCCTCCTGCATGCACCCTGATAAGAGCTGGGGGTCGAACCCACAGCCCTTTGGTCCGGTGGCCAATGCTTACACTGGCCAGGGCTCTCATATTTCTATTTATCAGCTTTACATTATATACTTTGATCAGCCATTGTAACTGAAGATATTAGCATACTTACTCTTCCTTAGACCTTTTTCCTCCATGTTGTTCCAGTTTTCATTAGTTATATCATTTCTGTATAAGGGCACATAATGTGTACTTTCTTTTCTGCTCCCTAATCCCTACAATTGTTTTAGTTTGGTTTTATGATTAATTATATTCCATATCAATTTGTGCATTTGTGTTTATAGTCATCTACATATTAACCAAAACATGTCATCTAGTACTTGTTTTATGGAAATAAGATCCCTGAGAATATTGCATGCTCTCAACTGTTGACCTGTTTCCTTTTTGTTTGAATGAATTTTTGGCTGGATATAGAACATGTGATTTATATTTTCTTTCCATATGATTTTTTTTTTTTTTTATCCTCACCCGAGGATATTTTTCCATTTTTTGTACAGATAGAGTGGGAGGGAGAGAGAGGAAGGGAGAGAGAGAGAGAGAAACATCGACGTGAAGGGACACATCGAGTGGCTGCCACCGCACGACCAACCAGGGCCGGGGACAAACTGCAACCGAAGTACGTGCCCTTAGCGGGAACCGAACCCGGGTCTCTCCGGACCACAGGCCGACGCTCTAACTGCTGAGCCAAACTGGCCAGGGCTTTCCATATGATCTTATAGGTAGTGTTCAACTGTCCTTTCTTTAAAACTATTTTAAATTTTATTTTTTATTACATTGTACATCCATTGTTATTTTGTATTAGTTTCAGGTATACAGCATAGAGGTTAGACAGTCATATACTCTACAAAAATGTTGCTGTGACTAACAAGTGACTTCAACAAAATTGCAGGATGCAAGTCAATATACAAAAACCAGTTGCATTTCTTTATATTTGTAATAATGAACTCAGAAATTAAAAAAAAATTAAAGTATCATTTACAATAGCACCAAAAGTTATGAAATATTTAGGAATAAATCTAACAAAATATATGTAATATCTGAGAAGGCACAAGAGAATTTTGTATGTTGGGTATTTTGAGTTTGATTGTAGTTTCACAACTGTATGCATTTATAAAAACTCTTAGAACCACCCACTAAAAGTGATCAATATTACTGTATGTAAATTATACCTCAAAAGCTCTGGTTAAAACACACACCCCCACCCCCCATCCCCACAGACAACACACATAGATACCTGGAGTGACTGTCAGAATGCTGAGACAAAGTAGAGATCAAATCAGGAGACATCCATTACTAGTCATGGTACCACACTGGAGGCTTATAAACCACACTGCGAGTGGCCAAATTAATCCTCCCCAGCTGTCCTGTTTGCTGGTGACTCTCAGATTTCCTCCATTTGAAACAATTAACACATTGCCATGGCTATACCCCATGACCAACATACTAGAAAGCCTTGGGTAGGACTCATACCTCATAACTTTCTCATCAGTGAAACACATCTGGCAAGGCATGGTTTTTATAGAAAAACTAACCCTTGCAAGTAAAATCTGATTTTTATCTACTGCATAATGAAAGCAAGTATGGTTAATAGAAACTTGTTGGGTATTCCTGCAGTAACTAGTGTTGGATTTCTCAATTTCAATTGTTTCATGGGAAAAATGATTTAAAACATGCAAAAAGTGATAAATGCAAAAATCTAAAAAGTATGATTTATCTGGGATGAGAAATGGTATCTTAAGGTTATCTTGTGTGTTCTCTTTTTGGAGATCTTCCACATTTCAATAATAGTTAAAGGCTAATATACAATGAGCTCTAAATTTCAGCAAAGCAGACATATATAAAATATAACAAATGATTTTACTCTCAATAGTAAACTTTGTTAATGCTGAACAACTTTATAACATGAGAGTAAGTTTTCCAAAAGAGCTATTTAGAAAGGGAGTATAAAGTTAACACACACACACACACACACACACACACACACACACACACATAGTTTAACTATCATTTGCTATAATATAAGGTTAGTCAGTAAAACTTTACAGCTTTCGATTAGTCTATTCATACTTTTATAAATGTAATAAAAATATAATATTTTAGTTTATCTACAGTTCAAGAAATGCTGAAGAAGTCAAATTTCTTGGTAAGATTCATAGATTAAAACCTAATGATCCATTAATTCAGATTCAGTGTGGAGAATATTTTGATTCTGCAAATTTCCTTTGGTTCAGAAGTTGTAGGTTTTGTTCATTTCAGACCGTGACTTTAGCACTTCAACTTCAGTTCATGGGTTGATTCCAAAAAACCTACATATTCCATTTCAGTTTGATTAGGTTTTCATAGTTTACACTTATTTGAGGCTCACTGTTTGATTCAACTCAAGCTGTCAGTTTTGAAGATATTCTCAATTAAGCAATGCCTTTATTGAGTTGGAGGTTATGGAGAGGTTCAACAAATGTTTAATGACCTTACTATTTTCAGAACCTGGTATGTAGAAATGGCTTATTGGTAGGCCGCAATACCTCTGTTACCCATAATTGGGGGGTGGGGTGGGGGTGGAGTGATCATCCTAAGATCATAGAAACATTTCCAAAAGGCTAGCTTAAAGAATGTTAACATTTTTTAAAAAGTCAGCAGCAGATGCTTCAAAATGAGGAGGTCACACAAGAAAAGGAGAAAATGGCAAAGGATCCTAAGTGAGGAGAAGCTGCCTGAAGTAATCTAAAAAACATCACAATGAACAAACATTAATTTGGAAAATAAGCAGATTAAAATTAATTAGAGCTCTTGGAACCTACCTGAGCAAGAGGCTTATTCTCAAATGCTGGGTCATGTTGATAGAATTTGTCCATCCCGTGCTCCTTGGTAGTGCATTCAGGCTCCTCAGCAAAGAGGGCAGCATCTCCATCAAAAGCCACGCGGAGCTGTGTGTCACAGTAAGCCATGTCTTTGCCTCCATCAAACATGACTGCAGAGGCAATCCCTGGAAGACCATGGGGACTGATCAGTACTCCTCTCAGGATGATGAAATTTCATTTCTACCATTGAAAAAATAATAATAAGCCCTTCCAGACCTTACATTTCCTCTCTAGCTATTCCCTGATGACTCAATTCCTCCTCAGCACAGTTGTCTACACACTGAGTCCATTTCTATAGTAGACAGGAAAGTGTAAAATGGGTGTCAGATGATCACTGAGGATGTCAACCTCCAGAAAGGTCTAAGCTCTAAAAGACAAACTTAAGGCTGCCACTTGCAGAAACACCTTAAAAAGTCCAACAAGGGTATAAGCCGCAGTCATCTGGGAAGCCCAATGAAGAAACATTAGCACAAACCTGTCTATTAACTACCGGAATCAAACCAAACCAATACCTTCTTGTATTGCTTCTTGAACTTTTTCAGAATCTGCAGAAAGATACAAGTTGGTAAGATATGCCTTCAAATAGCCAATGGGACTTTTTCCACCAGTCAGACAGAAGCGGTCGATTAGCAAGCCTGTTAATCGGGCAAGAAAGATTGTGTTATGTCAGAGACTTAACAATAGTATACTTACTGTAAATGCAAATAAGAGTCAATTTAGGAATAACTGAGTGCCTACTGAAGTTTTAACATTACCTTCTTAGTACCAGTATTGGAAAATGAAAACTACCTCCTGAGCACCAATATTTTATATACTATTAGTTGTATTCAGTGCATAATAATTTATGAAGTCCATCTACACTGACCTTGCCCATTGAGTCTCACAACAACAACTCTATGGCCGGCATTATTATGGTCATTGCAGAAAAAGACACTGAGACCTAAAATCTTGTTGAAACCTGTGGTTCCTGTTGACTCTTGTCCTTCAGCTACAGCCTCCTCACTTGTTGCAAGGGACAGTTAAAATGTGGCTCTATTTTAAGTACCATCTCTGCCTTTCTTCAGTAACAGTAGAATAGTAATGAAAAGTTGTGCCAGGAATTGAACAGTTTTCTAAAAAGAGCAATAAAAGGTCTGAAATTGTCTCTATTTCCTGACTTGAAATTTTAAATGCAGTTATTAGCAGACTAAACACTAATATATCATCAAATGTCTTTTAAATCAAATTTTTTAAAAAAATAACAAGTTGGTGAGAGGTTTGTAAAATAAGCACCTGAATACACTATGGACAAAAGCATAAACTGGTACAGGCTATTTAAAAAGTAATTTGAAAAAATATATCAAGAACTTTTAACAGGTTTATAACATTTTGACCTAGGATTACTTTTTTTAGTTTATTCTAAGGGAATAATCTGAAACTCAGATAAAGATTTATGCAGGATTATTTATAAAAGCAAAACATTGTTCAACGATGTGTGAATAATTAAATAGTATAACATTATGCATATATGTACCCATTCAAAGTGTTTTTAGAAATGTGATAAATGGAGTGGCTGCATATAATAAAAAGCATAATTTTGAGTCTATCACCTATATGGACCAAGACAGTAGGGTCCATCCAGAGTTGAGGTGCTAGTATTTGTTGTGGTATTAACAAAATACTCTCACTTTTCACTTAAGCCAACATTAGGCATAAGTGGCACAAAACTATGCTCCACAAATTCTTAATTATATTCATTTAGTGATCAGAAATTACTAAAGCACTGGGGCTTTAAAAATGACCAGAATAGTGTCCCTCATCTCAAAAAGATAACAGTTCACTGAGGAGCCAGGCTTGTAAACAGATAATTATAATGTAACAAAGATCGTAGAGAGATATACAAATTGCCTTCAGCGCCCAGAGAAGGCAAGTGAAAGGTGGTTATTCCATGAACAAGACTGCATGAGAAGATTGGGCTCAGTCAGTTAATGAGCAGATTTAATAGGTGAATAACAATGATTTTTTTATGCTATTACCTTTGATGGGCTCAGTGTGGTGAGGGATAGATAAGACTTAAATCGCCCACTAAATCAAATAATAGGTGCACTTTATTGAGTAACTAATCTATGCCAGTCATCTATGCTAAACCTCCCTCCTTTTTTCCTCCTATCACCCTTCTCCTGATCCAGCCACCCCCCACTAGCATTGTTGTCTATACATTGCTTACGCATTTATGCATATAAATTCTGTGGTTTATCTCACCCCCCCACTCCTATGCTAAACCTTTTATATATGTTCTTTTCATGTCATAACACTAAGAAGGCTGCATTTTGAAAGGTAAACATTTCTTAAAGCATGCAGTTAGGACAATATAAAACTCATAACTTGTAATATATCTTGATTATTTGTAAATATGCCCAATTTCAACTAAGAATTTCAATATGCCAAATGTACACCTTAATTTTTCTTGACATATCCATAAAACTGATGTCACTTAGAAAATAGCTAAAAGTCCCCAAATAAGAAGTCAGGTAATCCCATAACAGGAAGAAGGGGGACTTTCTCTTAAAGTCTCCTGCACATTGATGGAAATGCCTCGAAGAGACTTTTGATGTGTGGGGAGAGCAGCCAGGGAAAATCAGAGTTTAAGAGTGGAAAGGCAAGGTGAAAACCTTTAAACCTTTAACATATATCTGTGGTGAGCAAGAAGTTTGATCACACAGTGAAAGCCTCTGGGTTGATGGCTCCTTGAAGTCAAGTTCAGAAGTGAAAAACATAAAACAGAAATATATTGCAAGACCTGGGATTAAGACTTTGAAATTCACACTTGACAAGTTAAGTCCAGAGCTTTGGACCCAACTCTTTGCTGAAGTTAAAAATGAACATGGCCTCTCTTGTTCTGACATAGGCAAATAAACATTCCTCACGCAGAAGGGGGTGTCAATATCAAAGACACTGCATTAGTTAGGCCACAGTTAGCAAAATAACATGGCTTCTCTCTTCCAGAGCAGCGAGCTGTTCTTCCACATGGTATTTATTTTACTTACCATAGTGATTGACGCTGTTTATAAGCCGCACTCCCACTTGGGCATGGTTATTAGTCATCAGTACAATATCAAATAAGTCCTGTTCATCAGGGTACAGATCACGGAGTCTAGCATTGACATGCTGCAGGGCCTGTAGGTTACAAACATGATCATGTGTAAAGAGGGCCAGGCAAGGTGGACACTGGGGGTCTGGAGAGAAGGGATCTCATTAGTGTCAAATCCAAGCTTTGGAGACTCTTCACTGAGAGATTATGGCTCCTTTAAGGCGGGTTTATGTTATTAATTTCTCTATTTTATGCCTCTCACAGGACTTCAGCTAATGATTAATGAATATATAGGTAATATTTGTTGAAACTGTTACAACATTTGGTCTACTAGCATTGTCTCTGTGGGGTAGGTAGAGAAAAGGATCAGGTAGCCCTTTTATGCTTTATTTTTTGTTTGTTTTATAAAATCTGCCTTTCTTGATCATCTGATGATTGTATTTTTATTTTTCAATTACAGTTCACATTCAGTATCATTTTATACCAGTTTCAGGTGTACAGCCAGTGGTCAGACGATTTATATAATTTATGATGTGATCCCCTGATAATTCTAGTATGTACCTGGCATCATACATACTTATTACAATATCATTGACTATATTCCCTATGCTGTACTTTACATCCGTGTGTCTATTTTGTAACTACCAAAACATACTTCTTAATCCCTCCCCATTTTTTCACCCAATCCCCCAAACCTCTCCTCTCTGGCAACCCTCAGTTCTCTGTATCTATGAGTCTGATTCTTTTTTGTTTTTTCATTTATTCTGTTCTTTATTCTGTGAAATCATATGGAACTTGTCTTTCTCTGCCCGACTTACTTAGCATAATACCTGCTAGGTCCGTCCATGTTGTTGCCAATGGTAAGAATTCATTCTTTTTTATAGTTAAGTAACATCCCATTGTGTATATGTACCACATCTTCTTTATCTAATCATCTATCGATGTGCACTTTGGTTGATGATTATTTTGTATTGTGAAAAATATAAAATGCTGCATGAATTTGCATGTTAGCCTTGCACAGGGGCCATGCTAATGGTCTGTACTGTTCCAGGTTTAGTGTATGAGTTGCCAAAGAGCACTTCTCGATTTTGAAGCAGGAGTCTGTAGAAGTGGTTTCCTCCCATGCTCCTCCCATGCCCCATAAGTACTTTCTACTTACAACTTGTAGGAGAGTCATTCGTTTCTGCCCGGTAATGATGCTATTGTGTAATAATTGTTTAAGTCATATAGGGGATCACAGTTAAAGTGCTATGCATTTTTGTATAAATTTAGAGAACCTACTTTATTAAAATCATGGTCCTAAGTGCCATGAACATCTTGAAAGGGTTATTTGGGGCAAAAGCAGCAAAAGTGAATTTCATCCCATTTTAAGGAGGCATTTTATTTCTACTAGTGCTCGGAATTGCAAACTCATTGCTTCTGGCTACTGCCCCTTCTAGGGACGGGACAGAGGTTTCTTTACAGGTCTCATGATTAGGACCCCACTTGGGAAAGCTCAGCATCTCAAGCGTAGGGCTAGAGTCCCTTCCTCGGCAGGCTGGCAGCCTGTGTGAAAGAACAAACTCATCTGGGGTCAACTGGAAGGGCAGGACTGACCAAGGTGGCTTAGGGATTAGGAGGAACCCTGGATGAGATCCCAAGAGTCTGCATGGCTTCTCCCCTGCCTTCCAAGGTCTGGGGACAGCAACACGTGCACAGTACCTTGACGAAGCGAAATGCGGGCCCTGGGGTTAGGATGACGTTCTCGTTGGTGAGGTGATATTCCATGTACTTTTCCAGACCCTCTTCCTCATAGATCTTTCTGCCATCCAGCATGTTGAAGAGAGCCCGGGATGACACAGCGATGGTGATAGCATGCTTGGGTTTGGGCTGCAGACAGAGGAGCCAGAGTTGGGGGCGGGGGGCAGTCCCACAGACCGGAAAGGATCAGGAATCGGGCTCATCCCAGGGCAGAGGGGGAGGAAACAGCTGGGCCCTTGCTTGCAGCACTGGGATGCTGGAGACCCCCCCCCCCCCCCCCCCCCCCCCCCGCCGCCAGGGCTGCAGGAGGCAGGTGCGGGACTGACTTGGACTTCCCCACAGCTGGGAGAGGAGGGTTGCTGGGAGAGGTGAGGGCTGTGGGGAAACAGCTGGGCCCTTGCTTGCAGCACTGGGATGCTGGAGACCCCCCCCCCCCCCCCACCGCCGCCAGGGCTGCAGGAGGCAGGTGCGGGACTGACTTGGACTTCCCCACAGCTGGGAGAGGAGGGTTGCTGGGAGAGGTGAGGGCTGTGGGGCTGTGCGGGGGGCACCCAGGGCACAGGGGTCCGTGGGCTCTGCTCACCGGCCGGGGGCGTGAGCAGCTGGGGGTCTTCTCATACAATGTCTTCACAGATGACCAGTAGGCTTCCTCATCGTCGTTCTCGTCCTCCCGCTGCCGGGTCAGGTCGGACAGGCAGTCGCGGTCCAGTTGAGAGGAGTAGGTGGGCCTGCGCTGGGTGTAGGACTTCCATTCGGGGGGTGGTGTGCGTGGGTATTCCCGCGGCTGCGGGTCGCGCACGTCCCGTGGGTCCCGGATATCCCGCACCGTGCTGTGCCCCCAGGTGTCGTGGTTCTCGTGCATCTTGGTGCTGCGCCTGGATGCCAGCAAGGGCTGAGGCTGGGGCTCTGGGGGCGTGGGAGGATTGGAGTCCACAGGCACGGGCGGTGTGTGCAGCACGGGCGGTGTGGGCGGGGAGACCTGCTCAGACAGCTCCTGCTGGAACTCTTGCTGGCTGTGGGAGGTGGATGAAGTCCGGGAGGTTGTGGAGCTTGTGGGGACCTGGAGCAAGAAAATGGGCATCTGAGTGCCATGTGCCCTGGGGTCCCGGTCTCCATCTGCAGCAGGAGTCAAGGAGCTGTCCCCTTTCCTCTGTTCCATTCCTAGCCCTTATTGGATCCTGGTGCATCTCAGCTCTTTTTAAGTGGGGCTTAAAGGGGCTTAGACATTTCCAGGCTCCAGGTACTAGACATTTCTGTTAAATAGACCCAGACACAGTCAGCTTTCATTGCTCCCTAGATTCACCCAGGCCCCCATTAGCATATCACACTTTTTAAAATTTTTATTTTAGTAGCTGGGACACAGACCCTCTTTCTTTTTTCTTTATCCTCACCTGAGGACATTTTTCTATTTTTTTTTTCAGGTAGAGTGGGAGGGAGAGAGAGGAACAGAGAGAGAGAAACATCAATATGAAAGGAACACATCGAATGGCTGCCACCCACACGACCGACCAGGGCCGGAGACAAACTGCAACCGAGGTACATGCCCTTAGCGGGAACCGAACCCGGGTCTCTCCGGACCGCAGGCCGACGCTCTAACCGCTGAGCCAAACCGGCCAGGGCCAGACCCTCTTTCTTGACTTAGGTGAATGGCACACAGTTTGCAAACTTATGTTATTTGACTTCTTTGTGTATACCTGCCCAGTCCAAGCCTTCCAGGTAGGCTTGAGTAAGGGACCTCGCTTGCCACTGCCTCCATCTGTGACCTCCAGCGAACTCCATGAGCACCTAGACCAGATGTTCCCACCAGAAGACTACAGAGCACCTCAGAGACATCTCTCTCCACATCTGCCCTGTGACTAGGGCAGTGATTGAAGGAAGGTTACTAGGCTGGAGAACTGAGGGTCTCCCTTCTGCCTTTGGGACTTTGTGTGTCTGCTGAGCTCATGTGGAGAGAATAGTCTTCCTAAATAGGAAGGAACCATCCTAGAGAAAGGACTCTTTACTAAGATGTGTAACAAATTATTAAGCATCCACCTATTATTTAGGTTTTTATGGTTGTTTCACATGTTTTGAAAAGCGTTCTGTTGGCTAGATTACTGAGCCAGTCCTCACTGAGATAGATGGGTTGGCAAGGGTACACGTTTTCCCAGTGGCTGGATCTGTGCTACTCTTTGCGACCAAAGACTTAATCTCAAAACTAACTTTTTCTTCCTATATGGCCAGGCTTACTTAAGGGCCCAAAGTGATACACAATCTAATGCTCTTCAACAATTTATCTACTTTGTTGACCTTCCCACAACCCCCTTTCTTAGCCTTGAGTATTCAGTTGTTGAATGAAGAAAGAAAGGAAGGAGAAACCATAGAGTTTAATCATTACGTGTATGTATGGCTTATAGATGTAGTGACCTTAGGTTTTAATTAATTTATTTTTTTTTCCATTATTAATGTGAAATCTTAGATGAGTTATTCTGTGTTTTTTCCAACTGTAAAATAGAGCTTAAGGGGTGGGGGTCATCAGGGCTAAATTAACTAAATCATGTAAACTGTATAGAACAGGGGCTGGCACATAGAAAGCATCAATAGCCCTGGCCAGTATGTCTCAGTGGTTAGAGCATGGCCCGCAGACCAGAGAGGCCCAGGTTCAGTTCCCACTAAGGGCACATACCTCACTTGCAGTTTGTCCCCAGCCCGGTTGGAGTCGTTAGGGTGGCAACCAGTTGTGTCTCTTTCGTGTCGATGTTTCTCTCTCTCTCTTCCCTCCTCTCTCCCTCCTGCTCTATGTGAACATAAACGCAAAAATGCCCTTGAGTGAGGATAAAAAAAAAAATCAATAAATGTTAACCGTCGTCATGATCAGTATTATTATTACTGTTATTATCATGCTGTCGTGACCTCCATCCTTTCATCTCCATTTCTACCTTAAGATTGGTGCTCTTGCTTCTGGACTCGTCTACTGATGCAGCTCTGGTGGATGCGCTCCGTGAAGTTCCAGACCACTGATTTCGCACGATGTACCCTCGAGAATCTGCCTTTGGCAATACTTCTTGTGATCCCTTTTGAGGAGAGAAGAGACCCAGGGGTGTAATACGCCACCACCCACTCCTCCCACGCTCATGTCTACAGAATAGCTACATCAGGCTAACCATAGCAGCACCCACTGAGAAGACCGCGGGCCACTATGCCCTTAATTCGGTCTCGGCCCTAGTGTACTAGTCTAGCCCTGGCGCGACCCTCACTGCCCTGAGGAGCAGCTGAGGACACACCTGGAAGAGCATTCAAAACCAAGAAACAAAGCTGACATCTCATATTTTTCACCTGTCACTCTTATATTAAAGTTGACCGTTTTTTTCTCCCTTTCCTCACAACGCCCCTTAAGGATAAGCCCATTAACAGATGCTGGAAGACCTATCTACCATTTGACAGACTGCAAATACGAGGGCAGCTGGTATCTGAACAGGGCTGCAGTGGTCTCCAGGGGAACAGAGAGCTCTAGCACTCCCTCGGGGAGGGGCAACACCGAAGGAGACCATGGAGAGGCAAGTGGGGGTCTCTGCGTCCCATACCCTTCCCCTCACCCAGACTGACTGTGGCTCCCCTACAGAATCAGTAGTTTCATCTCTGCTCACCCTGATCGTGGTGATCTGCTGGCCCTGTTCCCACCACAGGCACATGTGAATATAAATGCGTATTGTGCGGCAGGGGCCAAGAAGGACTGGTCCCTCAGCTGCACTATGGCAGTGTCTACATGCCAGGTGACCACGCATGGGGCAGCATCTCAGCCAGTGATTCGGATTGACTGCATGCCTCATCTGAAAGATTGTGCAGAAAATGGTCAATGCGATGGCCAGACTCCCTTTCCCTCCCTGATCTGAACCAAGACCAGTCTCCTCCCACAGGCTGAGCAGAGGAGGCGGTTATGGTTTCTACACTGTATTTTCTTTGTGAACATGGGGATGTGTACTGTAGGGAAGGCAGGGACCAGCTTTCCCTAGCTTTTCCTTAACCTCTCTTTGAGGGGCATTAAGAATCCCTTAATACAAACCTCAATAGCTTAGTCCCCCAGAACTCCCTTCCCCCTAATATTTTCTATTGTGCATTCTGCTGTTTAATTCTCTCACCAACATAAAGAGGTCAGCTCACCTGTGTGCTCAGACGAACTGATTTCTCAGAGTCCCGTTTTTTCTCTGTTTCTAAGCTGTCTCTTGAGTATTTCGTTGCAGAATCATTCTTAATATGGAAACAAAGAATGTTTATTAATTTTAATCTCATGGGCGTTAGAAACCTGGGCCTTGGGAATAAAAGGATAAATTAAAATTAGCATTCGTCTCTTTGCCAGTATAAAAAAATATGTAAAGCTTGACACTATTTTTTGCCCTGTTCTACTCTTCTACTAAGCATGAGTAAATATCACAATATTAATAATTTTTAAGGTAGAAATTTGGTGGCTTATAGGTTCAAGGCATGGAGCATTTATTATTTAAAAAATTGTAATATGGGATATGTTATGGGAGAATTTTCCAGGGGTGAGCAATACTTGGATTCAAATGTGAGGTTACTCACACAGAATACCTTCTTTCTTTCTTTTTTCTTCCATTACTCTGAAGATTGCCACTCATGGAACTTTCATTTTTGCCATGCAGAATTGAAACTTCTCTTATTTTCATAATAAACCTTAAGTCCTATTTTCTGTGGATCTAAACCTCACCAGTACCAGTCTGACTTTTAAACTCAAGGACCTTAATCCTGTGCAGATCCGGTGTGGATCTTTGACAGACATGCCTGCTTTCAGAGGACCTAATTGCACACAGCATCTAGAGCGAAAGGTTTCTTATTAACAAACTAAGGAGACCGTGTAGGAGAGCACAAGAAAATAACTCTTCATGGATCCCTATTCAAATGATTCTTTTCATTTTCAATTGAGAGAAATACTGTTGTATTGTGTCATTGTATGCTAATTTGATAGCTGTAATGTGATCAAGATTAGTGTTATTTATTTAAGGAGCTCAACTTGTAGCTTAGGCCAGAGTGCATGGGGCAGTCTACTCATTTCTTTGTGCTCTGTGCCTTAACTCAGGAAAATCTGATCAGTGTTGAATCAGTCTGTGAGAGCAGAGAATGGCAGAGTGTGTGATCCTGGAACTAATCCTACAATTTTTCTCATCAACCGCGCACCATCACCATAAAATCCCATCACTTGTAACTCCAAAAGATATTTTAAATCCAGTCCTTCTCCATTCCTATTGTTATTGCCTTGTTCCAGGCCTCAGATCGTCACGGGTCTAGATTCTTAGAATATAGCCTTTTTGATCAGGTTTCATGGCTTCAAATCTTCCCAACTTTTAGATCCATACACACCATTTATTTAGGATGACCTTATAAAACATAAATGTAATTGTATTTTATTTCTGGATACACTCTTCATTCACTTGGATAGATAGACCAGGGGCCTTCTGGTGTATCCTCTTTACTGCTAACTTGCATGCCCTCCACTCTATACTTTATCTCGATGTTCTTCTTTGCCAAATGAATTGTACTTGCCTATATACCACCCTATTTACTTGTAATCTCCTCTTCCCTTTAATATTTTTCAAACCTACCTCATTGTGACCTGGGGAAGGTCCCCAGAGTTAATCCTTCTTGTGTTTCTCTGTCTTTTGTACATGCTTTTACAGAGCACTGCATTGTATTGTATGTGTCCCCTGTCCCAGTAGGCTGTGCATTCTTCAAAGATACAACTGTTTTCTCCTCTTACAACTAAAATATGATCATATACTCAGTAAATGCTGCCTTTGGGCTGACATATACTACATGCTTTAATCTCCTTTTCCTCTACATGTAGTCGGCATCTTCTCATTGTGTTTCGTTTACTTTTCCCTCCATTTTCTCTACATGTAGTTGGCATCTGAAATAATTAGATTGTTTAAGAGAAGTTCCAGAGGTAATGATGGACTGGTACCTACTTCTTTTCCTTGGCTCTTTGGTAAGATTCTGGGATGTTTCATTCACTTACCTTCTTTTTCTGTTTGAGAGATGTTTGACTCATTTCTTTAACTGCTGAAATACTTTTGCTGTTATGTAGGTGTTCATCTCCCCAGCTCCATTTCCTGTTGTTTCTGTGGCTCGGTCTAGGCTTGCATAGAATGTCAAATTTATGACATCATATGAGGTTCCATAGTAACAAACTGTGAATATGTGCCAATAAAAAATAGTAATATTATTTATTCATATATGAGTACATCCACTCATAATCATTGTCCAGATCTTTAGGAATTGATGTCTAAACAATGTTCAGATATTTAATATGTAGAAATGTCAACATTACTGATTCCTTCTTTCTGTGTCTCTTTTAGCATTACCATGTCACTAGGCACATCAGTCCCATTGATGGCCGTACATTTGCTGGGACTGCCAAAGTTAATGACAGACTAATTTGTAGACCCAATCATTTATTATTGTCCGTCCTGACAGATTTTGGAGAACTTTCTGCAAATCTAGAGACTAATTTGACAGCTGAGAGTTTGTTCTAGATATGGAGTTTAGACTTGAATTTAGCTGTAGTGTTGGTGTTGCTTTCACAACAAGACCATTTCCATTGCACAAGGCCAAAGCTCTTCCCCTGTGGCTAGACACGGTGTGACACATGATGCTTGCACTTCCCTCCTGCTGTTTGCCCCCGCCTTAAACATTTAAACACACATATGTTCCTCTTGTGTACACACGGAGAAGAATATGTAAAATCCAGCCCCCAACTTAGGTTTATAGGCTCCTATAATGCTCTGCATTTTCCAGTTCTGATTTTATCTTCACTCAAGTTCCATGCCAACCTGTGTTGGTCAAACCATCATGGATTGAGACATTGGAATCGATAGCTTAGTTTGAATATCGGGAGATTTGGGGCAGCTTCCATCAAAGTCCTCCAAGAAGTCTTCTAGATAGTAAAACATGCAGGCTCTAGGTTAGACAGCCTGGGTATCAGTCCTTTCACGTCTTATAACTCATTGTGATCCTCGGCAGGTTGTATAATAAATAAATCTCAATTTCCTCACTGATAAGATGGAGATAACAATGGTATCAACATGAAATGATAGTTGTGATAGTTGAAATAATATGAGCCACTTAAGACAGTGATTGGCATGCATAAGTTATTAATCAATGTTAGCTATTACTTTTATTCATAATTTTGCTTCAGCTCTCCTACAGAGTTCAAATAGAAAAATCTTTAATCCTCACTGCAATCTAGGAAGAGAATTTTAAAATTACTTCTTGTTCAGATACTTCTATAACTAATCAAATGTCAATTTTTTTTTTTTTAAATCCTCATTTGAGGACATTTTTCCATTTTTTGTACAGACAGAGTGGGAGGGAGAGAGAGGAAGAGAGAGAGAGAGAAACATCGATGTGAAAGGGACACATCGAGTGGCTGCCACCCGCACGACCAACCAGGGCCAGGGACAAACTGCAACCGAGGTACGTGCCCTTAGCGGGAACCGAACCCGGGTCTCTCTGGACCGCAGGCGGACGCTCTAACCGCTAAGCCAAACCGGCCAGGGCTCAAATGTCAATTTAACGATTCTTCCCACAGCATTAGTGGCAGAGCAAGAAGATAGCATTAGAGTAGCAGCCGGAGAGCCCTGAGACCTGAGTTCTACAAGCAGAGCAGGAGGCTTTCGTAGAGATGAGGACTGGAGGGAGTGTTGCTTTCGGACTTGTCCTTTCAGCCTATACCCGCGATCAGCTTTTGCTTTTGGTTCCTTCCCTGTAATTCAGCATTTTATATATTTAATAAGTTCCTTGATGAATGGTCTTTTCCCATTACACACAGCCTAGGATAGAATATGAGGCTAATGAATGTTTTAAACTCTTTTATGTATTGATATATACATATATAACTAATTCTTTTATTGTAAGTGATAAGGGTGGCATTAAGGAATTATTTGTGTGTTTTTCTCATATTTTATAGTTTGTTTTTATTTATTATTTTCTACTTCTTAACTTTGTTATTGAGCATGGAAAACTAAACATACATGTAGATAGCTGTATTAGTCAGGATTCTCCAGAGAAACAGAACCAATAGAATATCTATCTTATTTATTATCTATCCATCCATCCATCCATCTTGACATAGATAGAGCTATATAGGTATATAGATACATAAGAGGAGATTTATTATGAGAATTGGTTAATGTGATTGTGAAGGCTGAGAAGCCTCACAATATGGCTTCTACAAGCTGGAGAACCAGGAAAGCTGATGGTGTAATCTAGTCTGAGTCTGAAGTCTAGAAAGCCAGGGGAGATAATGGCATAAGACCCAGTCCTAGGTCAGACGCCTGACGACCTGGGGCATCACTGGTTTAGGTCCTGGCCTCTGAAGGTCAATGTACCAGGAGCTGTGATCTTCCAGGGCAGGAGGAGAAGATGGATGCCTCCATTCAAGAAGAAAGAGAGAGAATTTTTCCTCCCTCCAACTTTCTTTTATATTGGGACACTCGAGGGATGGGATGATACCAGTCTACATCGATGAGAGCAGCCTTCTTTACTCAGTCTACTGATTCAAATGCTAGTCTCTTCCAGAAGCTCCCTCAGAGACACACACACAAATAAACTTCTACCAGCTCTCCAGGCACCCCTTAGCCCGATCCAGCTGAAACAGAAAAGTAACCATCACCGCTGTGTATCTTATGTTTGGCTTGGATTCGTTTCTACGTGAGTTCAACCTTGGTAATAAAGTCAAGGTGCAACAATATTATGACATTTTCATGCAGTCTTCCCAGGTCACCAAAATTTTGTTTGGATAATGAGATTACCATTGTCACTTGTAGTGGTGGATAATTTATTTTAAAAAGGAGCTCCATAAAGGGACTTAAGAAGCATTTTGGAGCACCACAAACATAGACATGTCTAAGTGAGCATTCTCCATCTGTTTTTGGCAAAACTTTTTTTATTCTTGCCATGGTTACTGAGAGGGATATACCTGTTCCCTTGGCAGTGCTCAGAGGATATTGCAGAGTGATTTGTGGGATATGGTTCCCACCTCACCATCCTCCTACTATTTATTTTGGGGAGGAGTTATGACAGTATTCAAAATTCCTGGGGATACGAGCGGACTCCTTTGTGGCTAGGAGGTTTTCATAATGTAGGACACAGATTGAGTATTACCACTAAGGGAGACTCCAAAGGATCATTTTCTGCCCCACCCCAATCTATAGAAATAAATATTGTGTGAAGTAGCTTTATTGCCTTCATAGATTTTCTTCTTTGAATCTAAAGATATAAAATTCACTAACGTCAAAATATGAACTATGTATTTAAAAAATATTTTGAAGCGAATAGGTAGATAGATTCAAAGATAAGAAAGTTAGTAAAAAATGAAGAGTTAGAGAACAGAAGGTATCGATGGGCTTGCTATCCTAAGAGAATCATAAAGAATTATAACCTTCAACAATTTTTATCTAAGTTAATGTTCCTCCCTTTGTAAAATATTTTTAGAATTGTATACTATATATATAATTCAGTATCTTGATTTTTCCTATATAGTATTAACTACAAGTACTTTCCATGCTATTACTTGGTTCGAGTAATGATAAATTTAATGAATCCATAGTGTTCTAGAGTGAGTACACTATAATTTGCATAAGGATTTTCCTGCTATTCAATATTTGGGGTAGCACTGAGTTTTGGCTATTATAAATAATATTTTCCTGAGTATCTTCTTTCTTTAGCTAAAATGAAAGTTCTTTAGTAGAAAACCTTTTCTTTCACAGTGACTAGTACATGCAGACATGTACTTGGATGGGCACATCTGACCCCGATCGCTCATGATGGAGCCTCACCTCTGTTCAGCAACATGTCTGAAGACATAAAATTGACAATTAGTAGACTCAAGATTCTAACAAAATCCTACCTTTCTCTAAACGTACAATGATTTTTGTTTGTTTAGTCACACGTCTTCTTCGGGAACTTCTCCACTGGCTCATTTTTCTACACCCAGCTTAACAATAGGTCAGTCTGAAATCTTTCACCAGTAATTGAATAATCTAAATAATTATATCAGGCAAGTCTTCATGGCTCCTAAATGTGATCCCTGTCCATTGCGACTATGTCTCTACATGTCTCAGAGCATGATCAAGAAGCCACTTCTCATATCAACCCTGTTCATGGTGCACATTTAAATATTCTTTCCCAAGCTGGTAAGTGGCAATTTTTTGTCCGAAGTATTGATTGGAGGCCAATGTATATATGCCAGGCTCTTCCCAGATAGTGGTTATGTAAGCTTATGTAGGTCAAGGTGGCAAAGTACAAGTTCTGGAAAGTTTACCCAGAGAGGAGAATTTGCCATGCAGAATTCATCAGTGGAGAACAGTTGCTTTTGGAAGTTCATTTTTCTTGAGTCATTTCTTCTTGATTACCCACGTGACTCAGGGGTTACTGTGGATTCAGAGGGCCAGAGAACGCTGTGTGTGGGAGCCTGGGGGGCAGGGCGGTATGTTTGATTGATTAGGAAAGGAAAAAACGTAGAACACTTGTACTGTAGAAAAATATTTTTGAAGAAATTTCTGGGGTGAGTCTTAAAGGTAATAGAGGCTTATAAAATATAAGGGCTTGAAAAATAACAGTGCCATTAATTTCTGTGTAGATTAGGGCTCTGAGCTTTAGTAATTAACCCTCGCATCTGTGAGATGGGAATTACATGTATCATACACTGCACAGTGTCGTCGTAAAACTTGAATAAAATCATGCAAATAAAAGCACACAGCACACTTTACAGTAAGTTCTTAATAACACATACCTCCAAGACAATTTCCATTTTAAAAAGTCTGCATGTTGAGTAAGGGGAAAAGGTTAGTTGGAAGATGGCCAAAGGGCTTGAAAATTGGGCCAGCTAAATGGAAAGGGGTGACCACTCTCATAAAGGCCAGGGAGCTTGGTGCCAGTGTGAAACCAGGGTCTTTCTTGCTCTTTTAAAGAAAATCATGAGGAGTTTTTTCCACTTTTCGTTTGGCTTAGCCAAAAGGGTCCATGTTCACCTTTTTTTTCCCCCCCTCC